CTGTTTGATCAGAGCTGCATTTCCCACCTCCTTTTCCCATTTAATTCCTGTTTTTTCCTGTTTTTCAGAGGCGTTTCCCTGACTTTTCCTACATCACCCAGAACGGGAGGCTGACGGATTTCCTGGACTGTGTCATCATCAGGTGAGTGCCAGCTCTGATGGAAATTGGGAATATTTTTGTGCCATCCCTGACATCCCAAACACTTTTCAAATCCATCCTTTACATTTTGGCTGATTTTCCCATATCCTACAAAACTTTAAAAGKTTCTGGARCCATCCAGGCTGATTTATTCCCATTTTTTTTGCCGCCACTTCCACCTGGACCACTTTCAAAGGTCCTGGAGCCACCCAGGCTGAATTTTAAAAGGTCCTGGAGCCACCCAAACTGATTTATTCCATTTTTAAAAGTCCTGGAGCCATCCAGGCTGAATTTTAAAAGGTTCTGGAGCCATCCAGGCTGATTTATTCCCATTTTTTTTTGCAGCCACTTCCACCTGGACCACTTTAAACGGTCTTGGAGTCACCCAGGCTGAATTTTAAAAGTTTCTGGAGCCATCCAAGTTGATCTATTCCCATTTTTTTTTGCAGCCACTTCCACCTGGATCACTTTAAAAGTTTCTGGAGCCATCCAGGATGAATTTTAAAAGGTCCTGGAGCCATCCAAGCTGATTTATTTTGTTTTTTTTCTGCAGCCATTTCCATCTGGACCACTTTCAAAGGTCCTGGAGCCGTCCAGGCTGATTTATTCAATTTTTAAAAGTCCTGGAGCCACCCAAACTGATTTATTCCATTTTTAAAAGGTCCTGGAGTTACCCAAGCTGATTTATTCCCATTTTTTCTTGCAGCTGCTTCCACCGGGACCACTTTAAAAGTTTCTGGAGCCATCCAAGTTGATCTATTCCCATTTTTTTGCCGCCACTTCCACCCTGAACCATTTTAAAAGTTCCTGGAGCCACCCAGGCTGAATTTTAAAAGGATCTGGCACCATCCAGGCTGATTTATTCCAGTTTTTCTTGCAGCCACTTCCACCTGGGTCACTTTAAAAGGTCCTGGAGCCACCCAAGCTGATTTATTCCCATTTTTTTGCCGCCACTTCCACCTGAAACACTTTACAAGATCCTGGAGCCATCCAGGCTGAATTTTAAAAGGTTCTGGAGCCACCCAAGCTGATTTATTCCATTTTTAAAAGGTCCTGGAGCCACCCAAACTGATCTATTCAATTTTTAAAACATCCTGGATCCATCCAGACTGATTTATTCCCATTTTTTCTTGCAGCTGCTTCCACCTGGATCACTTTAAAAGTTTCTGGAGCCATCCAAGTTGATTTTTTCCCATTTTTTTTTGCCGCCACTTCCACCTGAACCATTTTAAAAGTTCCTGGAGCCACCCAGGATGAATTTTAAAAGGTCCTGGAGCCACCCAAGCTGATTTATTCCCATTTTTTCTTGCAGCCACTTCCACCTGGGTCACTTTAAAAGGTACTGGAACCATCCAGGCTGATTTATTCCCATTTTTTTTGCCGCCACTTCCACCTGGACCACTTTCAAAGGTCCTGGAGCCACCCAGGCTGAATTTTAAAAGGTCCTGGAGCCACCCAAACTGATTTATTCCATTTTTAAAAGTCCTGGAGCCATCCAGGCTGAATTTTAAAAGTTTCTGGAGCCATCCAGGCTGATTTATTCCCATTTTTTTTGCCGCCACTTCCACCTGGACCACTTTCAAAGGTCCTGGAGCCACCCAGGCTGAATTTTAAAAGGTCCTGGAGCCACCCAAACTGATTTATTCCATTTTTAAAAGTCCTGGAGCCATCCAGGCTGAATTTTAAAAGTTTCTGGAGCCATCCAGGCTGATTTATTCCCATTTTTTTTGCTGCCACTTCCACCTGGACCACTTTAAACGGTCCTGGAGCCACCCAGGCTGAATTTTAAAAGTTTCTGGAGCCATCCAAGTTGATCTATTCCCATTTATTTTTGCAGCCACTTCCACCTGGATCACTTTAAAAGTTTCTGGAGCCATCCAGGATGAATTTTAAAAGGTTCTGGAACCATCCAGGCTGATTTATTCCCATTTTTTTTGCAGCCACTTCCACCTGGACCACTTTACAAGATCCTGGAGCCACCCAGGCTGGGTTTTAAAAGGTTCTGGAGCCACCCAAGCTAATTTATTCAATTTTTAAAAGTCCTGGAGCCATCCAGGCTGATTTTTTCCCATTTTTTTTTGCCGCCACTTCTACCTGAACTATTTTAAAAGTTCCTGGAGCCACCCAGGATGAATTTTAAAAGGTCCCAGAGCGATCCAAGCTGACTTATTCCAGTTTTTTTTTTGCAGCCACTTCCACCTGAATCACTTTAAAAGGTCCTGAATTTTAAAATTCACTTTAAAAGCTGAATTTTAAAAGGTCCTGGAGCCACCCAAACTGTTTTATTCCATTTTTAAAAGGTCCTGGAGCCCCCCAGGCTGATTTATTCCATTTTAAAAGGCCCTGGAGCCATCCAGACTGATTTATTCTATTTTTTTCTTGCAGCCACTTCCACCTGAACTATTGTAAAAGATCCTGGAGCCACCCAAACTGATTTATTCCATTTTTAAAAGGTCCTGGAGCCATCCAAGCTGATCTGTTCCATTTTTAAAAGGTTCTGGAGCCACCCAAGCTGATTTATCCAATTTTTAAAAGGTCCTGGAGCCACCCAAACTGATTTATTCCATTTTTAAAAGGTCCTGGAGCCATCCAGGCTGATTTATTTCCATTTTTTTTTGCCGCCACTTCCACCTGAACCATTTTAGAAGATTCTGGAGCCACCCAAGCTGATTAAAATTTTTTTTTTTTTTTTGCAGCCACTTCCACCTGGACCACTGTGGGGCTCTGCCCTATTTCAGTGAGATGGTTGGCTACGAYGGCCCCATTTACATGACCCACCCCACCAAAGCCATCTGCCCCATCCTGCTGGAGGATTACAGGAAAATCACCGTGGACAAGAAAGGGGAAACCAATTTCTTCACCTCGCAGATGATCAAGGATTGCATGAAGAAAGTGGTGGCCGTGCATCTTCACCAGACTGTGCAGGTGAGGGGCTGTTATGGGGGAAAATCAACCGAAAAAACCCCAAATATTTAATATATATTGAAATATTTTATATATTTTATATGTTTAAATTTATGATATTTAATGTATTTAAATATGTTTATAAATCTGCATGAAGAAGGTGGTGGCCGTGCACCTTCAGCAGACTGTGCAGGTGAGGGGCTCTTAAGGGGGAAAATCAACTCAAAAAACCCAAATATTTTATATATATTGCAATATTTTATGTATTATATGATTTTATATTTAAATTTATAGTATTTAATGTATTTAAATACGTTTATAAATCTGCATGAAGAAAGTGGTGGCCGTGCACCTTCAGCAGACTGTGCAGGTGAGGGGCTGTTATGGGGGAAAATCAACTGAAAAAAACAAATATTTTATGTATATTGAAATATTTAATATATTTTTATGTATTATGTATTTTATATATTGAAATTTAGAATACTTTATGTATTTATAAGACTGCATGAAGAAGGTGGTGGCCATGCACCTTCAGCAGACTGTGCAGGTGAGGGCTCTGACAGGAGGCAATCAACTCAAAAAACCCAAATACTTTCTATATATTGAAACATTTTATATGTTCTATCTATTATATATTTGAATTTAAAATATTTAATGCATTTAAATACGTTTATAAATCTGCATGAAGAAAGTGGTGGCCGTGCACCTTCACCAGACTGTGCAGGTGAGGGGCTGTTATGGGAAAAAATCAACTCAAAAAACCCAAATATTTAATATATATTGAAATATTTTATATATTATAGATTTTTAATATTTAAATTTATAGTATTTAATGCACTTAAATACGTTTATAAATCTGCATGAAGAAAGTGGTGGCCGTGCACCTTCACCAGACTGTGCAGGTGAGGGGCTCTTAAGGGGGAAAATCAATTCAAAAAACCCAAATATTTAATATATATTGAAATATTTTATATATTTTATATGTTTAAATTTATAATATTTAATGTATTTAATGTAACTCTAAACTCTCAATCAAATGGATATTTTAATTGAGAACACGGTGAATTTTGGCCCTGCTGAGGTGTTTTTCCCTGCCCAGGTGGATGAGGAGCTGGAGATCAAAGGTTAATATTTAAATTGATAATATTTCATGTATCTCCATTTCTAATATTTTACGTATTTAAGTATTTTTACATTTACATTATATAACAACAATAAAATCACAATCAGATGGATATTTTAATTGAGAACACAGTGAATTTTGGCCCTGCTGAGGGCCAAATTGATAATATTTCATGTATCTACATTTCTAACATTTTACATATTTAAATATTTTTATATTTANCCAGGTGGATGAGGAGCTGGAGATCAAAGCTTACTACGCGGGGCACGTGCTGGGAGCTGCCATGTTCCAGATCCGAGTGGGCTGTGAGTCCGTGGTCTACACTGTGAGTAGGAATATTTCTGATAGGAAATATTTGGGATATTTCTGATAGTCATATTGGATRCTTTATTATTTATTTTATTATCTATTTTATTATCTATATACTACATATATATTTTAACGCATTTAAAGCTGGCAATAAACTGCATAAATACCACTTTTCAAGGGCAAAACTTTAATTTTGATGAATTCCAAGGACTTCTGATAATGCAGAAAAATTCTGCAATTCCTGCATTTCTACCCCAAAACTCTSCGGTGTTTGTGTTCTCCCCTCAGGGCGATTATAACATGACCCCAGACAGACAYTTGGGGTGAGTAAAATCAGAATTTCTGTCATTTTTGGGGCATTTCTGACTGATAATGGGGGTGGATCGGAATATTTCAAAATGCTTTTGATGGAATCAGAAATTCAATTTTGAATTGTGAGAGAATCATAAATGAGATTTTGAATTTTGAGAGAATCATAAATGMRRTTTTGASTTTCAGGTACCTTCAGGTAYRAAATGCCAGCGCCCATCTCCCGAYYGGATTTTTTAAATTTATTTTTTATTAAACCCAGTTGATTTTTTTTGATTTATTTTGAATGAACCCTTTTTTTCAGGGCTGCCTGGATCGATAAGTGCCGCCCCGATCTGCTGATCACCGAATCCACCTACGCCACCACCATCAGGGACTCCAAACGCTGCCGAGAACGSGATTTCCTGAAAAAAGTTCACGAGACCGTGGAGAGGGGAGGGAAGGTTCTGTCTCCTTTTTTTCTGATTTATTCCCCCCCCAAAAAAAAAAAATCTCCATTTGATGTTGATTTTCTCCAGGAGAGAACAGGAATTTCCATGGGCGTGAATCGTGAATCGCGTTCCCGGGAGGTGAAAATTCAGCTGAAAATTCACCTGAAGAACGTCAATTAAAAAAATAAAATTTAAAAATTGGACTTTAAAATTGCATTTAAAAATCGGATTTAAAAATCGGATTTAAAAATCGGATTTAAAAATTGGATTTTAAAATTGGATTTAAAAATTAGATTTAAAAATCGGATTTAAAAATCGGATTTAAAAATTGGATTTTAAAATTGGATTTAAAAATTGGATTTAAAAGTTCGATTTAAAAATTCAGTTTAGAAATTCGATTTAAAGGAATTCAAGCAACTTTTAATGCTGGGCTCTCACAAATTCTGAATTTCTCCTTTGCAGGTTCTCATCCCGGTTTTTGCCCTTGGCCGTGCCCAGGAGCTTTGTATTTTACTGGAAACCTTCTGGTCAGTGCAGCCTCTGCTTTTTTATGGTTTAATATTGGATTTTTTTTTGTTTTTTTGTTTTAATTTTTTTTTTTGTTTTAAATTTTTTTAAAATTTTTCTTGGTTTAATTGGTTTTAATATTGGTTTAAATATTGTTTTAATACTGGTTTAATTGCTTTTAATATTGATTTAATTGCGTTTAATATTGGTTTAATATTGGTTTCATTGCTTTTAATATTGGCTCAATTGCTTTTAGTATTAGTTCAGATGGTTTTAATATTGGTTTGATACTGGTTTAATTGGTTTTAATATTGGTTTAATTCGTTTAATTGCTTTGATATTGTTTCATTTTGGTTTAATTGGTTTTAATATTGGTTTAATTTCTTTTAGTATTGTTTTAATACTGGTTTAGTTGGTTTAAATACTGTTTTAATTTGTTTTAACCTGGTTTGAATATCGGTTTATCACTCATTAAAATAGAGAAACACACACAAAAAAAAATCCTGAGGAATTCCCAGCTTTCTGAACTTGCAGGMTTTATTTTCCAGGGAGAGGATGAACCTGAAAGCCCCGATTTATTTCTCCACGGGGCTGACRGAGAAAGCCAACCATTATTACAAACTCTTCATCACCTGGACCAACCAGAAAATCCGCAAAACCTTCGTGCAGAGGAACATGTTCGAGTTCAAACACATCAAAGCCTTCGACAGAGCCTTCGCCGACAACCCCGGGCCCATGGTGGGTGCTGGGGAGG